TCGAAAAAAAAAAAAAACGATACCCAACCCCCTACGCATGACAATCGCAGCTTCTGTCGAATCGCGATTTCGATTCCATTTCGATTTATTGTGCAGCCCTACTTTTTCAGTACTGCTCAAAGCCATTGTATTCTCTTGAGCACAATGTTTTCTGAACAACACACCTGCCGTATGCGCCTGCGTTCACACTTGCACTTTTCTACCCTGATGTGTTGTTTTTCCAATGCTGTAATTATTTCCACTAATGCTTGGAGCAGTTTGGATTACATAACACAAGGCAGGACTGTCTACTGACTTTTTCCCCCCTCCTCTAGAAATTGTGGCAGACGCTAGAGGTGATTTAGCCAAGCCAGAGTGCAGCGAGACCTCAGACCACAGCGAGGAAACTGAGCAGACTTCAGGTACTTCATCTACTCTCTTTGCCTTCAGTGACACACACACACGTTTAATGTTATCGAAGATGCTGGTATCTTAAAACCATAACCACGATTCTTGGGTATGTCCGTTTTAAAGGACGTTCAAAAAAGGTGGTTTAGAATAAATTTGTTGAAAAATGACATTTTTCTCTGACCGTTTGATGACCATTTCACAACAACAGATGAAGACAAGCAATTAACTAGTCCATAACCATAAATCTTGAAAAATGAAGTCAGCGTGAAACGGCATTCACATCCCATTTTATTTCTATCATTTAACATAATTAGGACATGAGGATTTTCACCAAGAGAATTCAAATGGACAGGACTCTCTTTTATACATTTGCATGTTGCATAGTGGTGTATGTGTGTGTATGTACATATCTCTCTCTCTCTCTCTCTCTCTATATATATATATATATATGCATATATACAATTGATAGAGATATCAATATAGAACTGTATATATATTTCTGATAAAGATTTCGAAGAAAATCTTTTATTCAACTAGTCTACAACAATAAAGAAATTGTAAAAAAATTTAAAAATTACAAATAAAATTTTAATTGAAAAAAGGCTCCTGTATGATATATTGCTTCAGTTTTTCCTCTTTTGGCATTCACTTTGGATAAATGCATCTCCTAAATGAATAAATGTAAATTTAATTCAATGTACATTAAGGTGATTTAATTGTTATTGCGTGTATTTAAATATACAACATTTTATATAATGCTATATAGTCCAATGTGCTTTTACATGCCAACAAAATAAATTTTGTTGAATCTGATCAGCCAAGTTATTCATCATCAAGATTTTTGGTTAATATATGAATGTATAAGATCAACATTTCTTTTTCACCATTTTTATTTACCATGTTACCTATACAAGTCCATTTTAAATGGTATTATAGTGTGTAAAATTATTTTTAAAAGGTACAAATAATCAGTTAACTCTCAATCAAAATGAGCTCATTAAAGTTGCATTCATTTGAATTTATGATAGAATTAGAATTCTATTGAAAATAGTTTTGGATGTAGTGTAATATTTCAGCTTCCCAAAAGTATTTCTTCAATCCTATTTAAGCAATAGTAAACTAAGAATAGAATAATCTACTTCTTCATGAAATCATAACAATATATTCAGTATTTTTTATGATAATAACAACATTATGGGCTATTTTTACCCTCTGACCTACAATGGAAAATCCCTGTGTTTTTTTTTTTTTTTTGTAAATCCTTGGAAAGTAATTTTGAATGTTCTTCTGCTTCTTGCATTTGCAGTTACATCTCCTCAGGAGACAAAAGGTCCTGAAGATTCAGAGCCGCATGAGCAGAAACTGGTTTCAGCTCCAGAGACGTCCACAGTACAGCAGCTTGTGTCATCCATTGAAACAGAGGAGCCTCCAGAGACGTCATCTACACTCACGGAAAACATCTCCCAAAATGAGGATGACAGCAAGCCCTGCCTCGAGGAGCAGAAAACAGACCTATCACCCACCAAAGAGCCAACTCCAGCCTGTACCTCCCATGAGGAAGAACCCATGGAGGTTTCCTTCACGGAGGAACCTTCCACAATGGCTCATGGAGTTACTGTAGAGCCTGAGGTTAGTACTGCTAAGACTACGCCAGGAGTTCAGAGCCAGGAGGAAATGGATGTTATGGTGCAGCAGCGCAGCATTATTCCAGAGAGCTGCTTGCAGGAAATGGACATCACTATGGATGGTGATGAGCGATTTTTGGCCAAGCTGAGTTCACTGGTGGAGGAGAGGACGTCATTACAGCAGCCTCCATGCAGGCAGCCTGAGGGTTTGCCTTCACTTGGGCTTGGGGCGTCCCAGCTCCAGCTCCAGGCTGTCTCAGGACAAGCCATCAGCAATGTGCCTTCATCCACCTTCATACCATTCACTCCAAAAATCGGCATGGGCAAGCCGGCTATCTCTAAGAGGAAATTTTCACCTGGAAGACCCAGAGTCAAGCAGGTCAGTCATATACTTTATGATCAGTTGTGTGGTGGTTTACTTAATCCGTCATCTGCAGATTCCTGTTTATTTTTTAGGTTAATTAATAGACGTAAGGCTTTGTTCAAACAGACAATTACATTTTTGGTCATTTTGGCGTATCCATCTTAGTTTTATTCCGTTATTTGTGATCTCAAAAGAAAATAAAACTAGTCACAATTTTGACTTTATTTCTTGTCATTTTGACTGTAGTTAGTAGTTAATATCTCATAATTTGACTTCCTATCTCAGAGTTGCAACTTTATTTATCGTAATTGGAACTTTAAACCTCAATTTGACATTGTATCTCACAAATGCTTTTTTTCCCTGAAATTGTGGCTATATATCTCAAAATGTTTACTTTATTTCTTGTAGTTCAAGCATTATATTGCAAAACTGCAACGCTATTTATCGCAATTGTGACTTTATATCTTAATATGACATTGTACCTCATAAATGTGATTTTTTTCCCCCCCCTGTAATTGTGACCTTATATTTCACAATTGCAATTGTATTTATTAAAATTGTGACATAAATAATGTCATAATTACATTATTTCTTGTAATTGCGTTAGTTATTTCTCATAATTGCAACTTTATATCCCAGAATGACATTGCATTTCACAAATGCAATTTTTTTCCCTGTAATTGTGATCATGCAGGCAGCCTGAGGCAGCCTTTAACACAATTGTGACTTTATTGCTTATAATTGACTTGTATGTCACAATTGCAAAAAAAAATTCCTGTAATTTTGGCCATATATCTCACAATTGCGACTTTATTTCTGGTAAAACACAAAAAAAGATAATTCTAGTAATTGCAATGTTTATTGCAACATTAATTAATTAGTCATAATTGCGACTTTATCTCAATATGACATTATATGTCACAATTGTGATTTATTTCTTGTAAGTGTGACTTTATATCCCACAATTGCGGCATTATTTCATGTAGTAGTGACTTTTTTTCACAATTGCACATTTATTTCTTGTAATTGTGACTATTTCTCGTAATAGCTAATTGCATTTTTGAAATAGAATGTAGCAGTTTTATTTTTTACTCTGAGGCAGAAAAATGTTTCCATATGTTTCAGTCTAAACACAGCATGTCTCAGACATGCTCTCTATATGGATAGGCTAAATATTTGTGATTTGTAAATGTAAAAGTTTGATTTTGTGCAGGAACAACCTTCCATGCGTCAGAAGCTTTATTATAGACAAAACATTTGATAAATTGAACATTTTATGAGACAACACAGGCTTCAAATATCAATTCAAAGGGGATTATTTCAGCATTAGACATCTCACATACATGTCATACTCAGCCATCAGATCATCATTCATGCATCACATCCTGTTTCTGATTGTGTTTTCCTGTTAACCAAACAACCTCTAATTCATAAAGGCTGTGTCCGAAGGCATCTGCCTTGCTGTCCAGTCTGCACAGACAGTTTTATTCAGACCAGCATCCGGGGAAAAATAACGTCATGTCTAATGATCTAGAACTAATGAAGTTTAAAATTCAAGTGAGCTTTAAACATAACCAAATGAATATCTAATGACTACAATGTCTTTCTTGGTAGAAAAGGTAAAAAATAAATGAATGAATGAATACAGAAAGAAAGAAAAGAAAAGAAATTCCCCCCAAAGAGCGCATGCATGAGTACATGCATTTGCATATTTGGTTAAAAACTAATGTGTTAATTTCACTTCAGGCAGCTTTATGTTTTAATTGAGCAAGTCTTAATTCACAGCCATCATCGCGATTTCCGGATGATCGCTAAGTATTAATTAACTTTATAGCCACAAACGGATTAATTAGAGGAATTAGGCGGCTGTAAGAGGCCTGCTCTTTTGCACTCTTCGTGTGCTGGAGTCATGTGATGTCATGCTGACATAATCGCAGGTGTTTGTAAACAAGACTGCAGTGTCTCTGTTGTCATGGCAACAAATGTAGCACAAGAATTCAGATGCCAGGTCTCTCAGTAACACTTAGAGACCAATTATCACTATTAACTAACTGCTTATTATCATGCATATTACTAGCATATTGACTGTTTATTAGTACATATAAAGCATATTAATGTCTTTTTCTGCATGACCATATTTCAGATCCCTTAATCCACCCAATACCTAAACTTAACAACTACCTTACTAACTATTAATAAGCAGGAAATTAACAGCTTGAGGCAAAAGGCATATTTAGTCATTAGTTAATAGTTATTAGTTAATAGTGAGAATTGGTCCCCAAACTAAAGTATGACCATCCTCTCTACTGCGGTGAAGGCCTGTTCACAACGAGAGTAAAAAGGAAAATTGAAACGAATTGCAGACTCAAGAATCAAGTGAAAAATTAATTCCCATGTTTAATGCAAAATACAACTCACTAGTGCTGTCACGATACCAAAACCAAATAGAAATGTAATTTTTCCTAAAGAAAAAAAATTCATATGCTAAGGAACACACTCCTTTTTTTTAAATAATTAAGAAATATATTAAATAATATTCTTATTATATGAATTAAATACTACTAAATATAATTAATTTCGCAATGAGTCAAGAGTAATTAAATTAGGATTAAATTATGTAAATTAAGAATAATTAATACAAGTAAAATCAGTAATAAAGAAAATAAAATAATTACAAGCAATAAAACAAATAAGGAAAGTAACAAACTAAAGTTTTTAAAGAGATCAATACATTTATTCGTTATTTCATTATTCATTATACATTTATTAAACTGAGAAGGGGAAAAGTGACAGTAAAGACATTTATAAAGTTAAAAAAATATTTATTTCAAATTAATGCTGTTGTTTTGAACTTTCTGTTCATCTTTGAATCCTGAAATCCGTGTTTTTTTTTTTACAAAAGTATTAAGCAGCACAACTGTTTTCAATATTAGTAATAATAAGAGATGTTTTTGAGCAGCTAATCAGCATATTATAATTATTTCTGTAGGATATATTACATTTTAAAATATATTAAAATAGAGAAGTTATTTTAAATTGTACAAATATTTTGCAATATTACGGTTTTATTTTATTTTAAGATTTTTGTAACAACTTACAGAACAAAATATATAAACAATACAACACAATACAAAAAAGGCAATATTCCTATATTTTTACTGTATTTTTACAGCCCTGGTGAGCATAGGAGTCTTATACATAAATCTTACTGACCCCAAACTTTTGAAGCCTTTAAACCTGTTTGAACAGTCATTATTTAAAAAAAAAAAATTCTGTTTGCTGCATAAACTACACACTTGACCTTTAAATATCGTCTCTTAAGGCACTGATGACATTTTTAAAACACGCCTCATCTTCCTCGAGCGGATGATTCTGTTTTGCAAGTTTTTTTCCATCATTTGCGCATGCAGTCTTTCACATTATTTAGACCGACAGAAAACATCTATTTTTGCCCTAGAAACAGTTATATATACAGAATACAGTAAAAGAAACATTTTTGTTTGCATGTTTAAGAGCAGTATAATCAGATGTATATTTTCAGGAAGCGCTTTGTCTCAGATGTCATATTTTTGAGTTCATTCACTGCTCTAATGTGTCATGTTCTCTGTTAGCCATGTCTGTGTTGTGCATGCATGTATCTGTATGTTTCTTTGCTGGCTGTACTGTTTAAGTTGTTGCATGTTCTCGCCCACATCTCCTCCTCTCTCTCTAACCCACCCATCTTCAGGGAGCATGGAGCGCCTTCCACAGACCGAGCTCCCTCTCATGGTCCCTTGACCCGACTGAGGGCTGGGACGAGCCAAAGAGCAGGCAGCCCCACAGCACGGCCGCCTGGATAATCTGTGTGGTAAATACAGCAAAATATTACACAGCAGCCCTGCAGTGGGTGTTCAGCCGTGTCTACACTGGAAATAGCCAATTTGGCACACCTTCAGTTGATGAACTTTTTTATTGATTGAAGTTTTTGTCATTTTTAATTATATTTTTCTAATTTTAATAATTAAAAATATTAATTTAATTATGTAAATTATAAATACCTATAAATTATCAACATTATACAAATAATTATGTAAATAATATAATAAATATAAATATTTTTGAATGTATATAAATACAAGTTTTAATGATATTTGTCTAATTTAAATAATTACGATTATTAGTTTAATTATTTAAATTTTAAATAAATAATTGTATAAATTATCAATATTCTACGAGTAATTGTATAAATAATATATTAAATAAATACAGACAGATATATTTGAAATGTATATAATTAAAATGTATGTATTTTATGCATTCTAATAATAGTTATGATAATATTAATAATAACAGTTATTTAATATATTAAATAGTAAATTAAATATTTATGTATTTTATGTTTTATTATATATATATATATATATATTATATATTATATATATATACTTTATATCTATCTATCTATCTCTCTGTCTGTCTATCTATCTAATTTTTTTTATATCCGATTTGTATGTGTTATTATATTTATTATATAAAGAAATTGTACACATTATCGATAGTATTTATACAAGTCATTATATAAATTAATATATTGAATAAATATTACAATGTGTATATATAACATATTATTCTTTTAAATATTTTAATAATTGTTTTATAATTTAAACAATTTAAATAAAATGTAATTATTTAAATAAAATATATATAAAATAAATATTTTGAAATCAAATTGATCACGTCCAGTGCAGACATTGTGTAAGAATTTTAGAAAGCTAGAACTCTTTAACAAACCTTCCCCAGATATCCTCAGAATCCTAAAATTGTGTTCTCTACAATATGACTGTTCATTTTTCATATTATGATATTCATATATGATAATAATGTCATTTTCAAGCAATAGGAAGTAATGGGAATAAATAGTAATTTTCGAGGGAAGGCAGATGTGTGAAATGTAAACCACACCAGACCCTTGACTTTTCATGCAGAGAATCCGAGAGTCGTGGCATGGCATACGCATTGAAAATGTACTCATAACAATGAATATGTTGGACAGCTTTGATTTGGATTTGGACTGAATAAAAAAATGTATGCTGCATTTTTCATGTCAGAAACAACCGCAGCACATTACGAGAGTCACTAACATGATCTGTGGCTTCATAATTCATCCTAACCATTTTTCCCAGCATGCAAAGTGCTTTTCTTTCCATGACTCTGCTTGACTTGGGCTAATGAATGAAGATGAGTTATGAATGTGTTGACGTAGTGAGCTGTAGCCCATGGGTAGGAGCAGATGTGCTGCGTGTTGAAGGGTCAGGGGCTGGGCTCGCTGGGCTTCAGGTCCATCTGTTCCTGAGCCGCTGGAGCTGCCTGGATAATCATCTGGGCACGAGGCCAGACCAGGTCCCATCATGTCTTGACAACGAGTATGTTAGGTAGCATTTGCTACATGTCAAGGGTCACTGAAAAGACAGCATCGACATTAAGATGATGATGGAGAGGAAGCAGGAAAATACTGTATATTAATATGGTATTCTACGCCTTTATAGGAGTGAGTGTTATATTGAATATTCACAAATTACACTGGGTATAGCAAAGAATCACCACATCTTGTTGCTTCGCAGCCTGAAATGAAGACGGACACAGTTTTTGTTTTATCCAGCTGTATTTACTCAGTGCAACTTATTATATCCAAGTGAAAGATAAAACACCAACATGTCAGAAAAAATAAATAAAAAACAGAATCACTAAGTTGGAAAAAGGATCACCCCCTTGTGTCAGTATTT